CTGAAAGAGAAAGTTGAAGTTCCTAGGTCAACTTAACGTTAACAAATAACTAAGGAGCCAACATCATTAAGCAGTCTATCAAAGAAAATGTTAGCTAAAAATAGCATGCCTGCCCACCCAGTCTCACACTCCTGTTTGAATACACTGGCAAGTCTGCTGCTAGCCAGCTAATGTTACTTCGGAGTCAATAGCATTTACACGACCCCGGCTTCAAGCTTTAAACAAAATATACAACGCTTACTTAATACAACTTAACACACACACGTTGTCATACAAAAATATGTTCAAAGTATGCAACATCACTTTGGGAAAACGGTGCTTAATTTAAATAAGTCAGGACAAGTGCTAACATGTAGGCAGAATAGCGGCTAGCTGCAGATCATTGCAGGTTTGCTAACGTATATGATGGGACCCTGCGCTGAAAGCTGGCTTAAATGTCTTGTTATAACGCCGGTTTTGAATAAATACACTTAAATACATCTCATGCGAACTTTTTCTCCAAACGTCATAATCTCTTGTCAATTCTGAAACTCACCTTGTCTTTTTTCGTTTTATTCGGCATTGTACAACCGTAGCCGCCCTTGCTCCCCTCTCGGAAAACGTTACTCCACACAACCCAAACCTTGACAACTCTCAGGGTACCTCACTAAAGGCGGTTCAACCCTTCCTCAAGCTGTGATTGGCTGCTGTCTGTCAGCTGACACAAACGTCAGAGCAGCGGGAGCACACTGTCGGGTGGTCGGTGACAGTACATTGTCAATACACGGTGACTATACACGTGAGACAGCAAGTCCAGGATACATCATGTTCATGTAACGGACCGTCTGGGACATGTTCCTTTTAATGCATCCATGGCTGCCATAAAACTTGCTTGACTGCTCCCATTTCCTCTGTCACTTTCAGATCTTATCCCATAGTTTGTATTTATGATTTGTTCGCTCACTTGCTCTGAACCATCTACATAGACTAGAAGGCTATTTTGCATAATAATTGCTTTAATTGTTCAGCAAAGATGGACTATATCTATATGGACACCATGCTTCTCAGCTTATGTTATTATATGCTAGTTATTTGAGTGTTTATTTTATACCAGACAGAATACATTCAACTGATAGACTGCACAAAATAAGTTAGACAATGCATATCTATAGACCAGAAAAATACTAATTAAAAACATTTCATCACAGAATTTCATTCAAGTGCAACATACCTTTATAGACGATAGCTTCTGTGCACATTGTTGCCTCTTATATTAAAGGGGACCTATCATGCAAAATGCACTTTTGTACGTCTTTTATACATGAATATGTGTCCCCGGTGTTCCAGGGAACTCACCAAGTGTCAGAAAACACAACCCTCTCTATTTTCCTCCATACCCAAATCTCTAAAAAAGGGGCTGCAACGGATCTGATAAAAACTGATCCAGATTTGAACACTTTACTGACGTTAGTAAAGTGGCGCTACGGCTATTGGGCCAACTCTCCACCTATCAGGGGAATGTGGGGTTGGGCCACGGCTGGCCATTGCCGCTCGAAAGCGCTGGAGACGCTGTAGTACATATGCCAGGCCTGTAAGTGGCGCTGTAGTCTGCCACAAAAGCAGCGAAGAAGACTTCCCGCCCATAGTTACCATGGTTACCCTTCTGTTTATTCTCCGCTGTGGCTTTTTTTCTCCCTCCCCGAGGCAAGCGTTTGCTCCCGCTGCTTTAATTCAATGCAATCCCTCCCCGTCGAGGCAAGCACTGTAACGGACCGTCCACACAGCAGCGTTAAAAAAATCTTGGAGGTGGGTGTATCTGAAGCTTGGGGATTTGTTGCGAGCAAGGCACCAACAACCAATCACATGAATCTCCCGCCCGCGACATACGAAGCAAAAAAGTTTGAAGTAAACTGGATATAAACTCCCCAAACAGGCGAAAACATACCACTGTCTGCCACCTCCCTCCATGCCTGGCTCCTCCGGTTTATATCCCGGTAGGTAAATAGGGACTGGTCATAAAGCACCGGGTGATTCCCTACCGCTAATTTCTCCTCCATTTTTTGGAATATGAGGAAATGACCTGCGGTATGTCTCTCCCAGCATACACGCCGTTTGATTGGCTAGAGCTTGAACTGTCAGATTTGCGTACACGGGATTTGATTGGCTGACGCTTCCACCTCAGCCTCAAAAGTTGAACATTGCTCAACTTTGAATCCTGAAAATCCTGAAAATCTCCGCTCGCCTGCCCACAATGCAGTTCGGCGAAAAGTGAGGGAAAGTGACGTCACCCCATTCAAAGTGAATGGGCAGAAGCGTTTCAAGATTTTTTAACGCTGCTGTGTGGACGGTCCGTAATTCTCTCTGGTTAGTCCACCAGCAGATGACAAACACCCACCTCTCCGCCTCTTCCAAGGAACGAGGGGACCGTGCGGCAGAGTTTCAGTTTCAGTTTCTTTCGCCGGTCAAGATGTCCGTTAAAGTTTAAATCTTCCGGACAAAATTTGAAAAGTGCCGGTCAAAGGTCTTCTTTGTTATTTATTGAGCTTTAAAACAAATGAATAACGACTCTATAGGCCTATAATAATATAATAAAACACGGAGGACGGAGATCTTTTTTTCTCCCCCTCTTGATTTGATCAGAGCACGGCTTCCCTCTCCTGCAGGGGGGCGTGGTCAGCTGCAGCTCACAGAATCAGCCCCGTAGACAGCAAACAGCACATAGAGCGAAATGAGGCATGGCTAAAATGCATGATCTGTTTGGTATTTTGAAAACAGAAACGTATAAATATACCTTATATAGGTATGGCCCTACAATATATCATTTAAATATAGCATGATAGGTGTCCTTTAAATTATTGCACCTCCTTTCGTGTGTTCTTTTCCAAATATATCTCACGTTAAAGTAAAGCATGTTTAAAATAATCGACTCTTTGACTGTTGTATCTAACTTCTATGTTCCTCTTGCTGGTTATCCAGTTCTAGAATATTTGAAGAGCTTGGTAGAGCCGCTGAGTCTTCTATGTATGCAGCAGCTGGATCCCTTTAGTGTTTTATTGCCGCCATCTACTGGCATTTGACGATCTTACTTTGGCTATTTTTACAACTAAATGTTATGAATACATTCATGTTATCCCCCAAAATCCAATAATTCTTTATGAATTCATCGTTTTATATGCCTCCTTTTCTGTAGTAGGGCGGCAGTGGTTCAGTATTTAGGGGATTGGACTTTGGACCGAAGGGTCGCCGGTTCACGTCCCAATCGGACCAAGAAATACGGAGTGTGGACTGGAGAGGAGCCAGTTCACCTCCTGGGCCACTGCCGAAGTGCCCTTGAGCAAGACACCTAACCCCCAACTGCTCACTGGCGCCGGCTAGACTGGCTGCCTCCGCTCTGACCTCTCAACTGCATGTGCATGTGTGCATAACTGTGTGTATTTGTATATGTATGTGCATGTTGTAAAAAGTGTGTACTGTGTGTACTGTATTACCTGTACAAAAACGCATGTGTGTGTACGACAGAGTGGAAACTGAATTTCCCCCTCCCATCTTCTTCTTTTAGTCCTTAGGACATTGTAATGTTAAATGTCCCATGTCATGGCCATTTCTACTGATCATAATTCCATTGTTGAGGTATACTAAAATAGATTTATATTGTGCAATTTTCCAAATACACATTGGTTTCTCATACAGCATCTCTGTATAGTATGTGTATTCACTCTCTGTCCTAAACGGCTTGTTGGAGCTCCTGCCCCCCCCCTCCCTATGAGCCCAGTGGCCGTCTGCGAGACAGTGAAACACAGCCCCGAACACACACACACACCCGCAGCCTGGCTGGGAGTTTGTGTGTGTGCTCACACACCGACTCACAGGGTGTTTCTCAATGTCGAGGACGCTTACTTGGTAGCACATGTCTTCCGAGTCACTTGCTTCAGAAGCGAGGCAAGAATCCTTCCTAGCCTCGGAAAACGAAGAATTGTGGAACAGGCTAACAGGTATGCAGGTGTGCATCATATGCGAGGCCCCGACTTAAATGGAGCGCGATTTCCGCCAAAGATTTGGAAATTGGTCCGTGCGCAAAGCATTGTGGGGATTTTAAGACTGCGGAGTCTACACAAGTGCAGCCTCGAAATTGTAGTACGCCGGCCTCGGTAGAATTCCAAGTATGCTGGACATTGGAACAGTCCTTCGGCAGCACTCGATGACGTAGTATGCTTGAAATAGTGGCTCTGGAGCAGCCTTCCTCGACATTGAGAAACACCCACAGCCTCGCTGCGTCCCGCTGTCTCAGGGAGGAGAAATCGGCGGAGCTGCAGCTGAGAAAAGATTGAGTGTGTGTGTGTGAGGAAGTCCGTGGATTGGTCCAACTTAACGTAACAGCTCCAGGGATTGGTCTATTTGGACCAATGGGTCCATTTGGGTATGGGCACGTCACTGTACCAAGAAAAGAGAAATCTCCAACGAGGCGTTCTGGGGCAGCATAGACAGGTATTTTCTGTGTTAAGAGTTTTACTCGCTACAGGGTGTACTTTGAGGGTTTGTGACTTTGCAGACCGTTTACCTTCATAACACACAAGGGGACAGGTAATAACCGGAAAAGCATGACATGGGACCTTTAAATAGAGAAAATCACAGTTGTAAATAGTGACATTAATTCAGAGACAGGTGACTAGAGCAGAGCCCTCATTAAGGTAATTAGGAACACCTGTGCTTTTTCCTGCTATGATAGCCTAAGTGACTGTCTTCTAAAGATTGCATTTCTAGGAGTTTTTTAATTTTTTATTCAGTTAATATTGTTGGCACGATACATTTCACAAATCTTACACTGAAAGGTTGCATGTAACTAATGCTACAGTCTATGTGTTGTGATTCATATACACAATGCTAATTTCATTTAAATAGGATTTAACTAAATGTATACAAATGTCCTGTCATTAGCTGTATCTTTGTGAATTATTGTCTTTAGAATTGCCCCCGTGTTATAAACTTTTCAGAGGGTCAGTAAGGATGACAAAACATGGGAGTCAAGATATCGAACCTTTATTTGTGGGTCCAACCCCTTTCAATTAACCGTAACATTTTTGGTATATTTACAATCAAAGTAAGAACACAAAAAGTAAATTGGAATGTCAATAAATTAAAAAAAAAATGCATTGAAAACTCAAGTTACAAAACGTGACAACTTAAAAAATAAAGTCCTATGAGGAATGGATCTGAATCTGGTCATATCAAGGGGAGAACTGTGTGAAAAAGGTGTTGAGGGGAGAGCAATCCCAGGCTCATTTACAACATTAAACTTTACATTTCACATAACACTACTTCTGAGAGCCAAGAGGCCACAGAAACAGGCCTAGTCCACCTCCTCCATCCTGGATGTGTCATCATCGTCCCCTTCAAGACGGGGCATGTCCTCAGTGGGCGCAGAGGTGACTTCATCTGGTGTCATATCATCTTCATCAATACCTAAAACAAGAAAAATAAAAACATGATTAGTCAAAGAAGCCAGGTAGTTGTTTATATAATGTCCGTAAGCACAGATACTCACCGAGACCGAGCTTGATCATTCTGTAGATGCGATTGGAGTGGGTCTGGGGATCCTCCAAGGTGAATCCAGAAGAGAGCAGTGCAGTTTCAAAGAGCAGGATTACCAGATCCTTCACAGACTTGTCATTCTTATCAACCTCTGCCTTCTGCCTCAGGGTTTCCACGATGGGGTGGTCAGGGTTGATCTCTAGGTGTTTTTTAGCAGCCATGTAGCCCATGGTGGAGTTGTCCCTGAGAGCCTGGGCCTTCATGATCCTCTCCATGTTAGCTGTCCAGCCGTAGGTGCTTGTGACGATGCAGCAGGGGGAAGACACCAGGCGGTTGGACACCGTGACCTGCGGATGTCAACAAAAATGTGCACCAGTTAGTTTCTGCCTTAGGCTGCCTTTACACGGGAACGTTTGCGTTTACGCACCGTATGCGTTTTCAAAAAAGTCTTCCGTTCACACGCATTCGATTGATTTAACGTGTCTGTTCACACGAGACCGCTCGACCCGCTGGAAACGCTGTAGTACATATGCCAGGCGTGTAAATGGCGCTGCTGCCGCCACAAAATACACCAAAAGCAGCGAAGAAGACCCTGGAGCATGGTTGCCCTTCTGTTTATGCCCCGCGGTGGATTTAGCAACATGTAGTAGATCATGTAATTCTCCATGTCCACTTGTTGCTGATGGTTGTGGTAGAGGAGCTGTAGATTTTGCACTAACATCTGTAGCATGGTCGAGCTGTAGCACTAGCAGTAGCTACTGACAGTAGCTACTGACCATGCTACAGCAGTGAGCAGCAGAGGTGGGGAGAGGCGGGGCTATGGCTTCATCTATCGGGAAATGATCGTATAGAGGCGATTACACGGAGCCGTTTGACCCCCCAGAGCGGTCCGTTTGCAGATCTATCCACCTTGGGACCCGTTATCGTTTGCGGGGTCCGTTTCTATCGTTTTGTTACGGCCTCGTGTAAATGAAAGGGCTATACGCAAGAGAAACTATGCGGATACAACCCGTTTCGTTCCCGTGTAAATGGGGTCTTAATTGCACAACAGTGGTCAATAAACAACATATTATACAACCCCTAATGATTTGTGTTGAGGTAGTTTCGTTTATAAATCCTCTCACCTTCTCCACTTTCTTCTCCAAGATATCCTTCATTATCTTGCACAAACTCTCATACTGAGCGTTCTTCTCCTCCTGCTTCTTCTTCTCCTCGTCATCTTCTGGCAGCTCCAGGCCTTCCTTGGTCACTGAAACCAGGTTCTTGCCATCAAACTCCTTCAGCTGCTGGACACAGTACTCATCGATGGGCTCGATCATGTAAATAACTTCGAGGCCGGCTTTGCGGAGGCGCTCCACAAAGGCAGAGTTGGCCACCTGGTCTTTGGTCTCACCTGAAAAACAAAACACATTTATATTTTAGCACATTAACTAACTCAGTTCACCCGTTTCAAAACTATTTTGAATCTAAATGTACAGTATAAGGATGAGAAGTGTCCTCACCAGTAATGTAGTAGATGTGTTTCTGGTTTTCCTTCATACGTGTGACATAGTCCTTCAGGGACACCAGCTCATCTCCAGAAGCTGATGTGTAGTATCGCAGCAGCTCAGACAGCCTCTTTTTGTTCTGAGAATCCTCATGGATGCCAAGCTGAAATACAAATAAAACTTAATGTCAGTAACATGCATTTGAAAGCAACGTTGTATAAGTAGACCCATTTATTAATTAAATGTGTTACATTCTGGTTAAAAAAATTACATAAGTATTTCAGTATTAAAGAGTAGATACACTGATATTTGTCTCCAAGAACTAACCATTAATAAAGTGTAAGTAATGTCATTAAGTAGCACCAAACAAGACTTAAAGCAGCTTTTCATTAGGGCAATATGGCCAAAGGATCAGACAGATGGCTAACACATTATAAGGTCTGAACTGGAATATTTCTCTACAATTCAAGAGGTTTTTGTCAAGCTTTGCACTCTACAAACATACTATCCTGTTAAAATTCAGATTACATTTTGCAGGACTTGTGTGGACATTAACAAAGTATCAAACCAAGGAACAAGGGTTTAACACAAGGTGGCTGCCAACAGTTTAAAAGTGACAAGATTAGGAACACTTAACGGCTTGGACGGTGCAAGGTGAGAACACTAACCTTGATGTTCTTGGAGAACTGATCGTAGTACTTTTTGTAGTTTTCCTTGTCCTCTGCAAGTTCAGTGAAGAGTTCCATGCACTTCTTCACCAGGTTTTTGCGGATCACTTTCAGGATCTTGCTCTGCTGCAGCATCTCTCTGGAAATGTTCAGGGGAAGATCCTCAGAGTCCACCACACCCCTGATGAAATCTGATAGGATGGATAAAGACAACCTGATCAGCCATACAGTCAAATGTCTATTTGTTATTTTAATTATATAAGCTGATTATGTGATTTATGAAGAGTATATGCTAGGCCTGTCACGATAATACATTTTGTTGGACGATACATTTTCCCGGAAATTATTGCGATAAACGATAATATTGTCGGCACCGTTGTAAGACCATCTTAGACCACTGACATAATGATAATATATAATAATAATTCAAGTACATCCTTTCAAACAGAACTTTTTATTCAACATTCAACATTGCAAATGAAATGTGAAATAATATTAAAATACATAAATTATATATAATAAATAAACAAATTAATTAAATTGTAAAAAATTCATTAAATCACACACAACCAAAACAATAAATTAAATAGACTCAGGCTGGAAAACAGAGCTCTCTCTATATATTTATTTATATATATATATACAAATAAATAAATATGAACACACATTGGGTGTTTCTCAATCTCGAGTACGCTTGCTTGGTAGCACATGTCTTCCGAGCGTCTTGCTTCAGAAGCGAGGCAAGAATACTTCCTGGCATTCAGAAAACAAAGAGTGGAACAGGCGAGCAAGTGTGCAGGTGTGCGTCATATGAGAGGCCCCGCCTTACATTTTCCGCTACAGATTTGGGGAAATTGGTCCGTGCGCAAAGCATTGTGGGGATTTTAAGACCACGGAGTCTACACATGTGCAGCCTCGAAATTTCTCCAAACGAAGTACGCCGGGCTCGGTAGATTTCCAAGTATGCTGGACATTGGAACAGTACTTCGGCGGCACTCGATGACGTAGTATGCTTGAAATAGTGGCTCTGCAGCAGCTTTACTCGCGATTGAGAAACACCCACGGTCTCACAAGCAAAAAAAACCTCTACAGGCCATATCCAAATCTGTATTTCAAAGATTTCGAGCAAGGAACACCAACATGTTTGCATTGTCGGGCAAATGCATCTTTGATTGTAAACTGTAGGGAAGGTGGGGGCTCTCCATCTCCAGCTGCCGTGTTTGCTCCCAGCTGGGAAAACGGAATGGGGTGGTTGTGTTTCAGGTGCAGTTTAAGGTTGGTCGTAGGCTCTGGTCGTATTGCTAGCTTTTGTTGCTACCTTTTTAAAACAAATGCGAAACACCGCCCGGCTCATTCAAGTCCGTAGGTTCGCCTCGTTGATTTGACTTAAATCCTAAATATTCCCACACCGGAGATGGAGTTAGGTTTTGCAACCAATTCCATTTAACTTCAGATTCCCCTCGAGTAAGTCACATGTTGTCTCCTGCTTGTCTCTATATTATTCATTTGGCTGCTACACTGCTACACTGCTACACTGCTGCACGCGGAGTGTCCTGACCTGGATGTGTGTGAGCCCCGCCCCTCACGGCGCGCATGGCCGGCAGCCACAGCGCGCCTGGCTAAAATGCTGGTCACATCCTTATGTAAACAAACGGCAATTTATCGAGGTCAGAAAAGTTATCGAGTTCATTTTTATTTATAGTACGATAAGTCAATGAATTGCTTATCGCGACAGGCCTAGTATACGCTAGTATTTTGTGGCTTGAGTTAATACTCACTGAGGTACTCAGGGATGAGCTCCTCGCAGTTGTCCATGATGAAGACCCTGCGCACGTACAGCTTGATGTTGTTCTTCTTCTTCTTGTTCTCAAAGAGGTCGAAGGGAGCGCGGCGAGGAACAAAGAGCAGAGCGCGGAATTCCAGCTGACCCTCTACGGAAAAGTGCTGTGAGAAAGACGATCCATTAGGTCAGTATTCAAGTTAAATCTTACTACTTTTATTACATATGGATAAAGAATCATTTAGGGGCCCTACTTTGACAGCAAGGTGGTCCTCCCAGTCGTTGGTGAGACTCTTGTAGAACTCTCCATACTCCTCATTAGTGATGTCGTCAGGGTTACGCGTCCACAGGGGTTTGGTCTTGTTCAGCTCCTCCTGGTCAATGTACTTCTCCTTGATCTTCTTCTTCTTCTTCTTCTTGTCTGAACACTTGTCGTGGTCGTGCTCCTCATCAGACCCGACGTCCTCAATCTCAGGTTTGTCCTCGTCCTTGTCCTCTTCTTCATCCTTGTCTTTTTCCTTTTCCTCTTCCTCCTCTGCCTCGTCGTCACTCACCTCCTTGTCACGCTCTTTCTCCACCTAAATGAATATAGAACTCAGTCAATGGCTATCAGGCTAATTCATGTGATTTATTTCCTTAAACAACTTAAATGAGGACTTACAAAGAGTGTGATCGGATAGCCAATGAACTGCGAGTGTTTTTTCACAATCTCCTTGACTCGTTTCTCATCTATGTATTCGATCTGGTCTTCTTTCAAGTGTAGGATCACCCTAGTGCCACGCCCAATGGGCTCAGCTACATAGAAAAAAAGACGGGTCAATGCACGTTACATGTAACCTCCTGTAGGTACCCCTTTATTGATAGAAATCAATTGTTATTAGCAATAAAGTAAGGGCCTTTATAATACTTACAGTTGTCCACTTTGATTGTGAATGAGCCTCCAGCAGAGGATTCCCAGATGTATTGCTCGTCATCGTTGTGCTTGGTAATGACTGTCACCCTCTCAGCCACTAGGTATGATGAGTAGAAACCCACACCAAATTGACCGATCATGGAGATGTCGGCTCCAGCTTGCAGAGCCTCCATGAAAGCCTTGGTACCAGACTTGGCGATTGTGCCCAGGTTGTTGATCAGGTCAGCCTTGGTCATGCCGATACCAGTGTCAATCAAGGTAAGTGTGCGTCCCTCTTTGTTGGGAATTACTTCGATTTTTAGGTCCTTGCCACTATCAAGTTTAGTGGGGTCAGTGAGACTCTCATAGCGGATTTTGTCCAGGGCCTGGGGGAAAGACAAAAAGCTATAAGTGTGGATAGAAATTTAAATAACTTTCTATTATTCAGAGATTTGTGAAATAAACTCAAACTTCTTAGACACATCATGAGATTAAAAGGAAACACCTTCAGCCTAATACTATGACAAACTTACATCAGAGGAGTTGGAGATAAGCTCCCTAAGGAAGATCTCTTTGTTGGAGTAGAAAGTGTTGATGATCAAGGACATCAACTGAGCAATCTCAGCCTGGAATGCAAACGTCTCAACCTCCTCCTCCATTGGTTGGTCGTGCGATTCAGACATCTAAGCAGAGGGAACAAATGACTATTTTTAGAACATGCATATGGATCATGGATCACAAATGAACACACAAAAGAAATGCTCTGTATGATCCGCTGGCACCGTTTGTGTCCTTAAAGCAAGGCCTACATAATTATTTAAATTAGAAAAATGAATGCATTGCCCATTGAGGAGATGTTTGACACTTATTTATGACTCTTTCTTATACTTTCTTTTGCATTTTTACAGGCAGGTTAGCCCTGCAGGTTAGCCCACATTTTCATTGGTCTGTAGATTGTCTGCAGCTCTGTGAGTCACTACACTGTCACACTAAACACCCTGCGGTAATGTGCAAATAATTTAAGTTACACCGTACAATAATAAAAAAAAATCAACGCCACAAAGAATCTCACTCATTACAGAGGTGAATCAATACCTCTGACACACATATCAGCATTTCTTACATGGTTGCTAAGTTAATGAGTATCCATTAACATTGTCAACCACAAGTCATAGGCAGTAACAAAATCCAGACCAAATAATAAGTTCAGTTAACATCAGTAATGAGAAGTAACATGAGAAACGCAACAGTAATGCATCACTTGTGCAGGGGGGTGGGGACAGGTGGTGTGGCAGACTGTCCAGCTATGCTCAGCTCCACCTGCCTATAATCCATCTTTGACAAGTGACACTAATTCCACCCGCTTCTGTCTATACACAAGTTGCATAATATGCATTTCATTTCCTGCAAATACAATAAAAAATAAATATTGAGCGTGTAGAAAGTGAATTGTACTCAGCAGATTTTATTAAATCCAAACTGTCATTTACATGCCTAGTAAACCCCTAGGATACATGACTATTATATTGTTACTCTCATATCATTTTTATGTCATTTATTACTCTCTTTTAATCCCTCAAATGCACACACAGACACAGTTTTTGTTTTATTTTTTTGTCTCCATGTATATTTTGTAATTTGTTATTTGTCTTTACTTGTAAATGCTCCTTATTGTCTTTTGAGTGTATGTGACACTGTAATTGTATGCACTTGTCTTGTAACTCCTATATCACTAAATAAAAAATAAAATAATCCAAACTGTCAAGATATTTAATTAAATTGTTTCCACAGCTGCATAAAACAAAATAACGTTTTAACTTTTCAACCACACATGCTAATAGATAGTAACAGTGCAATTAAGCTTTCATGTTTAAATAGATACAATTAGTTGTTGGTTTATCAGAGGAGCACGTGGCTAGGATTACTTTTAAGCAGCAGTTAAAATGGCTCCCCCTTCCGGTTCCCCTGGTGAGTTGCAAGTTTCTAGAAGGTACCAAAAGGCGAGCAGAACTCTAGCAGTTTCCATAAGAATCGAAAGCTCCTCCTCATGGCCATCTGATGAGGATCTGTAAATGCTCGCCTTTAATTCACTTTGTTTGAACTGAGGAATGAAAGACTCTCTGCTAAGGAAATGTGGTCTTGGTTGTCGAATTTGTGCCACTTAACATAATTCCTGCCTGAAGTGCACCTCTTTTGCATCATGTGGCTGCTGTCTCCCAGAGAGGTGCACAGGTAATGTCAGGCAGGAAGGATAGTTACCAAATAATATTGGAAAAAGTTTGACATCTAAAAAAAAAAACGCTGACATCTAGGAGCAATGATAACCGTTACAAATCTTGATTTGTAAACGTACATTGAGATAACCAGCCTCTGGTTGCAACAGTATTGTTATGAGCCGTTAATAAAACTATGCACATTAACTAGATTTAGTTGCATCACCATTGAAATCCAGGCATGTCAGAATATTATTACATAGTCATTTATAAAATACCAGTATTGATGGACAACGGTTAAGCTTTACCTACATCATAACTAAGCTGATATTGGCTTACATTAACCATGAATGTCAAAGTGTTATTACATTTAGGCATCTCGTTATTATTTTTATAATAGTAAAGAAATATTTCAATAATTTACCTTGGTCCTGTATCGAAGACTCCCGTGTGAACTTAAGTTAAGATGTGGACTGCTGACAGGTTCCCCTTGCAGCTTTTATATCCCCTTCGACTGTTCGAGAAATCCTCCCGACCTGAGCATCCAGAACCATCTGGAATCTTCCCCTCTACAGCTCTGTGTTGGCAGGTGATAGGCTATGTGTGCTGTCAATCATGATGTGTGTACTCTCCTCTTTCCATTTATGGCTTGAGGAGGCTGGACTAAAGGAGGGGATCTGACGAAGGCGTGCGGGGGCAGAATAACTAGAATGAACCATGCAGTGCCAGTGCTTACTGAAAATTCCAGAACATTTAATAAATTACAAGATACAATTGATAAATTAATCTAGTCTCTTACCTTATGACCATTTTAGGAGCAAACAATATGATGAAAAACAGCATGCATCATTCAGTAATCAAGATGGCAGCTCTTATTTTTTAATAATTTTTATTACAAATTTGAAGGCATTTCATAAAAAAAAATGTTACAAAAAGAGACACAAGTCAAATGTACAGTGACTTTATATAACTCTTAATGGTCGTCAGTAGTTTTATAGAAGCAGCTGATACAATGCAGACAAAGCCACAATGTGGCCTACATTCATTCCATTAATTAACTTGTAGTGATTTGTTAATACTGTTCAAAAAATGAGATTTGAGTTCGATTGACATGTCTATTTGAGGCGATATTACAAAAATAATAAGGAAACAGGAAAGATTATCTTAATCGTTTAGTCAACTTCCTCCATTCTTGATGTGTCATCATCTCCTTCCAAGACTGGCATATCTTCATCAGCAGGCTGACTGACGTCTTCAACTGCAGAATCATCATCATCAATGCCTGTGAATGAGAATGCATTTATTAGCAACCAAAGACACAATAATATGTAAAAGACATTTCTGTTATGTCAGTTGTCAGAAGTAAACCTACCAAGACCCAGCTTGATCATTCTGTAGATGCGGTTGGCATGTGTCTGTGGGTCCTCCAATGTGAATCCTGAAGACAGCAGGGAGGTCTCGTAAAGGAGGATGACCAGATCCTTCACGGCCTTATCGTTCTTGTCGGCCTCTGCCTTCTCCCTCAAGGTTTCAACGATTGGATGCAAAGGGTTGATCTCCAGGTGCTTCTTAGCCGTCATGTAGCCCATGGTAGAGTTATCTCTCAGGGCCTGAGACTTCATGATCCTCTCCATGTTAGCTGTCCAGCCGTAGGTGCTTGTGACGATGCAGCAGGGGGAAGAGACCAGGCGGTTGGACACTGTGACCTGTTATAAATAAAATGTATTATTGTCATGATCAAACAAAATGGACTATTAAAGCAACATCAACATTTAAGACATTTTTCAAGTCATTTCCCCTGACCTTTTCAATCTTCTTGTCGAGAATGTCCTTCATGATCTTGCAAATGTTTTCAAATTTGGTTTTCAGCTCCTCCTGCTTCTTCACGTCTGCCTCATCTTCTGGCAGCTCCAGGCCTTCCTTGGTCACTGAAACCAGGTTCTTGCCATCATACTCCTTCAGCTGCTGGACACAGTACTCATCGATGGGTTCGATCATATAAATAACCTCAAGGCCGGCTTTGCGAAGGCGCTCCACAAAGGCAGAGTTGGCCACCTGGTCTTTGGTCTCACCTGAAAAAGTCAAATGAATTAATTAAATCAATATGGTAATCACTAAATGACTTTTTTTTTTTAAATGTTAGGCAACAATATAGAAAAATAAGTGAGTTGAAAACCAACCAGTGATGTAGTAGATGTGTTTCTGGTTGTCCTTCATGCGTGACACATAGTCTTTAAGGGAAACCATCTCCTCTCCAGAGGCTGAGGTGAAGTAGCGCAGCATGTCAGAAAGCTTCTTCCTGTTCGCAGAGTCTTCGTGGATGCCAAGCTACAACAGAAAGTGATATGTTATTAAAATTCAACTGCAAATTTGAAAATGTCCTGTCACAAGGGTTAGTTAAATTCATAAATTCCTACCTTGATGTTCTTGGAGAACTGATCGTAGTACTTTTTGTAGTTTTCCTTGTCCTCAGAGAGTTCAAGGAAGAGTTCCATGCATTTCTTGACCAGGTTTTTACGGATGACCTTCAGGATCTTGCTCTGCTGCAGCATCTCTCTGGAAATGTTCAGGGGAAGATCCTCAGAGTCCACCACACCTTTGATGAAGTCTGAAAGAAAAAAAGATTGCTTAGCCTTTCAAAGCCACACAAATGTAATTTAACAAAAGCACACATTTGACAAACAATCAAGACTTATGGGAGCTAGAGTGCATCATTTTGAAGCCATTACTATTTGAATGATATTTAATATAGACTTATTTAACTCACTGAGGTACTCGGGGATGAGCTCATCGCAGTTATCCATGATGAAGACCCTGCGCACGTACAGCTTGATGTTGTTCTTCTTCTTCTTGTTCTCAAAGAGGTCGAATGAAGCTCTTCTGGGAATGAAGAGCAAAGCACGGAACTCGAGCTGACCCTCCACCGAGAAATGCTGCAAGAGACAACAAATAAATGATTAGCTTTAAATGTATCAATATAAGAGAGGATAAAATAGGTATTTTGTTGATAATTTTTTTGCAAGTTAATCATCAGTAAACCCGGCTTACCTTGACAGCGAGATGATCCTCCCAGTCGTTGGTGAGACTCTTGTAGAACTCTCCATACTCTTCATTGGTGATGTCATCAGGGTTACGGGTCCAGATTGGCTTGGTCTTGTTCAGCTCCTCGACATCAATGTACTTCTCCTTGACCTTCTTCTTCCTCTTGTTCTTGCTCTCCTTTGTGTCCTCATCCTCATCGGAGCCTACATCCTCAATCTTAGGTTTGTCCTTGTCCTCAGTGGTATCTTTATCAACTTCCTCTTCTCCCGCTTCAAGGTCCACTTCCTTCTCTCTTGTCTTCTCCACCTTGAATATATGGAAAGAGTGGTGGTTTAGGAATTAGTTTGTGTGTAAATACAGAGGTGGGGGACTCGAGTCACATGACTTGACTCACATATTTTTGGACTTGAGACTTGCTTGACTAACATTGATAAAAGACTTGACTTTGACTTGGTATTCATGACTTGAGACAGATGACTCGAAAGGACTTTACTTTATAAAATTAAATATTTGTTTTTGTATTGTACGGAGCCCCTAAAGGGCAATGAAAACTTCACTGTGTTTACTTTCATTAAAACAGCTAAAGAGCGACCGCTACTTTTTAACCACACACATCGAACTGCCCGATTAATCCCCCCCATTACTCGTTTTAAGTACTCGCTAAGGCGCATGATATGTGTGTGTGTTTGTGCTCTGCTGTGTGTTCGACAATGGCATTTGTTTTCAAATTACCATGAACAGTAATTTACACACATCTGGCGAACTCCATATGTATATGTGGGTGTTCCCAAATGAAAGAAATGTGTTTAATCTTAATGTCGCACTGTCTGCACACAAACATATCATGCGCCCTGGTACACTATTCCGTTGTATTGGGTTTGATGCAATATTTCTTTGTGCACAGACAGTTAGGAAAACAATGAGACAGTGTCATATGAGAGCACCTTAGACAGGAGAAATACTGTGACCCTGCTGAAGGGGAGCCAAGGCAGGAGGCTTAACATGTTGATGTCAAATATTTGTGTTGTACTCCTGTTATCCCTTTAGAGCCCTTTTAGAACTTATAGGGTTATCATTTCAGCACCCCACTCTCCATTGCCGTTCATGTTAAAAATAAAAAATAAACTTTTCATAACCACAATATTTTAACTGATTTAAATGCGGAAACTGGGGTTATTCATCAGAATTTCGTATGACTTGAGAATTGCTTGACCTGATCTCACCACAGTGACTTGGGGACTTGCTTGAAACTTGTAGGTTAAGACTTGAGACTTGCTCATGACTTGCACGTGTAGGACTTACTCCCACCTCTGTGTAAATATCATAGGTCACAATAGGTTTTAGGTCTGAAAATGTGTATTCTTGGTAAAGGAAGGTACAACTTACAAAAAGTGTAATAGGGTAGCCAATGAACTGGGAGTGCTTCTTCACAACTTCCTTGACACGCTTATCCTCACAGTATTCTGTCATATCTTCTTTGAGGTAAAGGATAACTCTTGTGCCTCTGCCAATGGACTCTCCTAGAAGTAACAATACAAATCAATGATGAGAACTGGGTTATGAGTCAAATTGTAACCATCATTCAAATTATTGAATATTTCATATCATATCAAAGAGTGAACTTACCAGAGTCCACTTTGACTGTGAATGAGCCTCCAGCTGCTGACTCCCAAATGTATTGCTCGTCATCGTTGTGCTTGGTAATGACTGTCACCCTCTCAGCCACTAGGTATGCGGAGTAGAAACCCACACCAAACTGACCGATCATGGAGATGTCGGCTCCAGCTTGCAGAGCCTCCATGAAAGCCTTGGTACCAGACTTGGCGATTGTGCCCAGGTTGTTGATCAGGTCAGCCTTGGTCATGCCGATACCAGTGTCAATCAAGGTAAGTGTGCGAGCAAGCACGTCGGGCCTCACTTCGATTTTCAGGTCTTTGCAGGACTCAAGTTTGGTGGGGTCTGTCAAGCTTTCATATCTGATTTTGTCCAGGGCCTAAAGGGATAACATTGTTAAATGGTGATGCTTGCTAACATGGGAGGGCTTCCACATTTAAATGATAAAAGGGCTGATTTTACTTACATCTGAGGAATTGGAGATGAGCTCTCTAAGGAAGATCTCTTTGTTTGAGTAGAAGGTGTTGATGATAAGAGACATCAGCTGAGCAATCTCAGCCTGGAAAGCAAAGGTCTCCACATCCTCCTCCACAACGTTTCCGGCGGCAGGCATCTAAAAAGAGCCACATATAACATTGAGTTATTCTGCATTCATAAATATGCTTCTTACGCTTAAACATGATAATTTGCTCTAAAATACAATTGTAATGTATGTGTTGAAACCGTGCCTCCTGCTGTTTTATTGAACCCCCCCCCCCCCCTTGTAAAAGGCAGCCTCGTGGCATGAAGTGGTCAGCTATTGCAGATGAACACATGTTCCATCTGTCAATCAAAGCTGCCATTTGCTTAATGGGTGGAGTTATGGTGCCTTCCCAACCC